ACGATTGAGAGAGAAAGCGTAATTGGACGTGTGCCGGCTCGCGGTGTCCTTTCGCTGTCTCACACATTTGTTACTAGTACGAAGTAGATACCCCGGTGTCTCTCGCTTGCCAATATTCGTAATAATACTTTTATTATGTAAAATGTTGTAATTATGCATAAAAATTTTTAATATCGTAAAAAATTGTGCATAATTACAACATTACGTGTAATTTTGAAACTCATTGTAATAGAACAAAGAAAATTTAATTTGGCTAAAAATCACTGGTCAATTACGTTAATTTATTCAAGATTTTTTCAAACATTATTTCTATTAATATTTAGATTATATAATTTCGTTACCAAAAAAGCATGGAAACTTCTTTGGCCGACAATTATACTTCTTGATGGATACTTGGAGATTCTGTATCATGATATTACTGAGGATAGCTAAAATGTATAGCCGAAACGTCCAGACAATGATGTAATTACGCATCTTATGGTTTATTAAATATCTTTTTACAAAAATTTTTGCGCACTTCTTATTGCACTGATTCCTTTTTAGCCAAATTAAATTTTCTTTGTTCTATTACAATGAGTTTCAAAATTACACGTAATATTGTAATTATGCACAATTTTTTACAATATTAAAAATTTTTATGCATAATTATAACATTTTGCATAATAAAAGTATTATTATGAATATTGAATATGTAAAATATCTTGTAAAATATTATTTAGTTTTCATTAATCATAACCTTAATACTTTTGTGCGCGGAATAATGAGACCAATTAATTGGTTTAAAGAAAATACATTAATCAAAAAGTGTCGGATCCCCCTAATATTTTCAGTATAAGAATCCATTTTCAGTAAAAATTTCAAATCTTTATAACTCAAAAAATACTTAATAAAAAAATGTTTTATTATAGTGTTTTGGAAAGCTCTCGAGATAAGCTATAAAAATATGCAATAAAATGTAGGGGGTTCCATTTAAAAAAATAAGGTTGACCTTGAAATGACCTTAAAGGACATGGTCAAGATCAAAGTCAAGGTTATCATCTTATTCCTCGCTTGAAACCATACAACTTTGCTATTGGACATTTTCTCCAAAATGCATTCTAACTGAAGATATTACCCAGTGAGAAATGACAATGGAATCGACATCGAATTGATGTCGATTCGACGTCGAAATCATCAATTTGACATCGAATCGACGTCGATTCGACATCGATTCCATTGTCATTTCTCATTGAGTAGGGGGGTCCGATACTTTTCGATGACCCTGTATACAGGATGTCCCAAAAAGGTCGGGACACCTAAATATCTCGGGAAATATAAGTTTTACAGAAAAGTGTTTCAGACAAAAGTTATATGGTTTAAAAATATCTATTTACTGATCCTATCAGTTTGACCTTCGGTTGCGTAGCCAAGGTCAGGTCAAGGTTACATTGATTTTCCGAAATGGAACACCCTATTTTCGATTCAAGAATCTAATAGCTGATGTTGAGAGCTTTCCAAAACGCTATAATGAAATATTTTTTTATGAAGTACTTTTCAAGTTATAATGTTTCAAAGTTACAGTATCGCCCCGACACTAGCATTACCCAAAATATGTAATACCACGCGTTATGTTTTTGTTTGTGCGTTAACTGAAGGTCACGGACCACCGACCGATCTCGCCTTGACTGGCCAGTCTCCAAAATTAAATATTTTGGGTAATGCTAATGCCGGCGATACTGTAACTTTGAAGCATTATAACTTGAAAAGTACTTCATAAAAAAATATTTCATTATAGCGTTTTGGAAAGCTCTCGACATCAACTATTAGATTCTTGAATCGAAAATAGGGTGTTCCATTTCGGAAAATCAATGTACCCTTGACCTGACCTTGGCTACGCAACCAAAGGTCAAACTGATAGGATCAGTAAATAGATATTTTTAAACCATATAACTTTTGTCTGAAACACTTTTCTGTAAAACTTATATTTCCCGAGATATTTAGGTGTCCCGACCTTTTTGGGACACCCTGCATAACTGCTCTGTAATCTGTTGGCAGTAATTATTACACGAGCAGTAATACCTCCAATAATAACTTCAACGGTGTAATGCCTGTCGTGTGATTCGTCAGTAGTAATTACTACATGGGCAGCAATATCCCCAGTAATAACTACACACTTGTCAATCTTTTGCGTAAGGGTTATAATTCGAAAAATATTTTATGAAAAATTAGTTTATTGTAGTATTTTGAAAAGCTCTTGACACCAGCTATTAGATTCTGGGATCAAAAATAAGGTATTCCATTTTAAAAAGTCGATGTAACCTTGACCTTAGCGACGCCACCCAAAGTCAAACTGATAAAATCAATAAATAGATCTTTTTTAAGCCTACAACTTTTATCTGAAACACTTTTCTGTAAAACTTATATTTTCTGAGATATTTAGCTGTCCCTTTTTGGGACATCCTGTATATATAATTAATACGTAATTCAATTTTTTTATTGAACATTTGATTGAATCTTGACGAAAACGATCGAATGCGAATAAACGCGAATGACTAATTTGTTTCAATTGGCATGAATAATGAAAATTCGTATTTATTTGCTTAGTCTAGAGTAGAGTCCCTATAATGAGAGTCAAGACATAAGGGGCGACGCCCTCGTGATTGGTCGCCGCCATTTCTAGATGCTTTCGATGTATTAGTGAAACTGTGAATTGGTGTGAGCAACTGTTTCATGGTGTAGTAGTACAAACAGGCGCGAACGCGTCTATTTGTGCCACGCGTTATTTGTGCTGTTTCCGGCCGGCGCCCAGCAATGGCGTCTTTCCGGTCTTATGTTTTGACTCTCATTATAGGGACTCTAGTCTAGAGTAGCCTAGATCCGACTTAAGAAGCATTTATTATTTAATGATCAAGTTTGGCTCAGTTTTCATTCGAATTGTTTTTGCTCCGCGCAGAATATAATAATTACTATCAAATGGCTTTGTTTAACTAGAGAATCTGTCTGCTTGTTGAATTATAGGTACAATCGGCGGCGACTTTACTACTCGAGAGTAAAATGTTCTACGTTCCTTTCCTATTAAACTCAGCAATTCAAAGATAGTAAATAAATAAAATGACGATGAACGAAGCTGAATACCTATATACATGCTATACATACGTTATAAATATATATACAGAAAAAGTAAAAGAAGCGAACAAACGGGCAAACAACAAACGAACAGAAAAAAAGAAAAGAGTTCAATGAAAGACAAAGAGAGACGACTCAAGTCGAACAGGGAAAGGCTTTGTTGCGTATGTATAAAAAATAAATAAAAGCATATATATATATATATAAATAATATAATGTGTGTGTTCGTTGCGTTGTACAAATGAAAGAAGGCGGAGAAGAGGAATCGTTCAAGCGAAAAAGAAATGAAAGGAACACAAGTGTACAATAGAAAGTAATCACATCAGGACAGCGAAAGAAGGATAGAAAAAAGAGAAAGAGGAACGATTTTAAATAAAATATTAAAGAAGAGTATATATATGTATATATGTATTAATACATAATACATATTACATACATGCATATATATAAAAGTCAAAGGAACGAGAGAGAGGGAGAGAAAGGGAGGGAGAGAAAGAAAGCGCGCCACCTCGAGATGAGCAATCAATCGAGGTGGGAACTGAACTTTTTTATCGAAACTAAAAGACTATAATAATATATTTCTGTACGCAAATACGTACCGTGCAACTACGTCATTGTGTGTTCACATCGCATAATCCGATCGATAAAATAAGACTCTCGTTACGTACCGCGCTCACCGTAGGCCACCTACTACTATTACTATTACTAGTACTACTACTACTACTACTACTACTACTACTACTACTACTACTACTACTACTACTACTACTACTGCTGCTGCTGC